AAAAAGTTTGTCAGCAAATACTGCCCTTTTATTAGGATTATTGGAACTGCAATTATGTAATCGTTTGTAATTATTTGATGTTTCCAAATTCAGAGAACACAGATGAACGACTGATCTTGTTTTTTCCCCTTTTCTCTCTGTTTGGGAGTAGCACACTTCCTATTAAAGATCCTCTTGTGGACAGTGCTTCTCCAGTCTACCAGGCCGTGATCAAACCTGACGATAAGGATCCGGAGATGTCTGAGTGGGCCCGTCGCGCCGCCAACCTGCAGTCCAAGTCCTTCCGAATGCTTGCTCATATCACAGGGACGGAGTATTGTGAGTAGGCCTATCCTTTCTTAATCACAACACTGTGTGGACTGGAAATTGGTTTGAACTGAAAGGGCTGACATGCTTTAGACGCACTGACATAAGATGACAGCAGTGTTTATGTGATAAAAATCACTTTATTTTGGAGACTTGGCCTGTAAAGGATGACTCTTTTTTTTTATGTCACAGTGCAAGATCCAGATGAAGAGGCTCTTAGAAAATCAAGGTAATCCATTTTGTCTTCATTTTTTTTTGCTGTCTTCCCCCTTCAAAAGAAATAAACTTTAGCATACTTTTAAAAAGAGAGCGTATTAAGAAAAATATATCTGACCTTCTGCGGCAGAGAAACAAGCGCAGCCATCTTTAGAATTTTGTGTTTGAACTTCCGTTTTTGCGGTAGCTCTGTATATTTCTATGGCATTGCGGTAGAAGAGTACTTAGCTGGTGAAGACGTGGATTTGCTTGTTGTAGAGAAAGTTATCAAGAGCATTGTAATGTATAAGAACGGATGTCATAACAAATGTCTGTAGACCGGGATGATTTTAAAACGAGCGGTTCATTAATTAATCCGTACGATCTTAATATAAGGAAATACAAACCGGAAGACAGAACACCAGTCCAGTGCCTTAAAGGGGGCAGGGCTACATAAGGTCTATACTTTGAAAGAATATACTTAAAGGGATAGTTCACTTTGAAATTAATTTTTGGTATGTTTTAGCTTACCTCAAGGGCATCCAAGATGTAGGTGTCTTTGTTTCCGCAGTAGTTTCAATTTTGATATTTTTAGGTCAAACCGTTCTTGTCTGTCAGTCATATAATGCAGGTCTATGGTCACCACCTCAAAGAGCATGCACAGAGAAGTCCAAATTAAACATGATTTAATGACTCGTAAATGTAAGTACACATTGATGGCCTAAGACACGAAACGAGCGGTTTGTGTGAGAAAACGAACAGTATTTATATAGTTTTTACCTCTTGTAACCACAGCCATGTCCAAGTGATCTGAGGGCGCGGGCGCTTCGGTCTGCGCAAGCGTCGGAAAGCGCCGGAAGTGATCTCTCGCGTGTGTACGTCACTCATTGTTTACACAGAGGTTTCGGAAGTGTTACCTTTCACTGTGAAGATCTAAACATATTTAGATATACAGGAAATCGCAATGGAAGATGATTTCGATATATCAACAGACAACGTTGAATTTTTTTCACGAGAGATCACTTCCGGCGCTTTCCGACGCTTGCACAGACCGAAGCGCCCGCGCCCTCAGATCACTTGGACATGGCTGTGGTTACAAGAGGTAAAAACGATATAAATACTGTTCATTTTATCACACAAACCGCTCGTTTCGTGTCTTAGGCCATCAATGTGTACTTACATTTACGAGTCATTAAATCATGTTTAATTTGGACTTCTCTGTGCATCCTCTTTGAGGTGATGACCATAGACCTGCATTATATGACTGACAGACAAGAACGGTTTGACCTAAAAATATCAAAATTGAAACTACTGCGGAAACAAAGACACCTACATCTTGGATGCCCTTGAGGTAAGCTAAAACATACCAAAAATTAATTTCAAAGTGAACTATCCCTTTAAGTAAATGTAATGTTTTCGGACACTTGATTTTCATGATATTTACAAATAAATGAAAATATGTTATAGTTAAATTTATATTACATGGTGTTCCAAATATTTGAGACATATCAGTAGGATTTCAGTAGGCCTACAATAAACATTTAGATTTTAGTTTTTCAAAGAAAGTGTTTGTTTTATTTCTCATATCTTTTCTTAGATAACTGGTATGGATCTCAGACAGGTTCGTGAAATAGTTTGCCAGGTCTTCTTAGGTAAATGGAAAACCTACTTAAAGAGGTTGTTCCACGTTATTAAGCAAGTCACAGTTCTCACGCAATACAGGGATGAAGAAAGATCTTTCTGAAGATGAAAAGCATGAAATGGTGCAATGTCTTGCAAAAGGCATGAAAAACTAATATTTTTGTGAAAACTGAATGGAGATGATCAAGTTATCAAAAGATTTGGGAGTGATTTAGAGCACAGAACAGAAGAACTTGGTCAGGGAAAGTTTCTGTCAGAGAAATTAATTGTATTAAAAGGGCGGTATAACCCCCCCCCCCCCCCCCCACCACCAAAAAAAACACTGTTGATCAGCAAACAGGTATATTTGAAGCTGCTGGTATCTCTGAAGTCTCAATAATCTCTCCATGCAGGCTGGCAGTTGTGCATAAAGTTGCATTTCAGCCACCCCTTACCAAAGCTCACAAAGAGAAACGTGAGCTTTTTATAAAGATACACTTTTTTATAGCTGTCCTTTTAATGCAATTCGTTTGAAAATATATAAAATATTAGTTGTTTTCATGCCTTTTGCAAGACATTGCACCATTTCATGCTTTTCATCTTCAGAAAGATTTTTCTTCCTCCCCGTATTGTGTGAGAACTGTGACTTGCTTAATAATGTAATTTATTTAAGTAGGTTTTCCATTGACCTAAGTAGAACTGGCAAACTATTTCACAAACCTGTCTGAGATTAATACCTAAAAAGACATGAGAAATAAAACAAACAAACTCTTTCTTTGAAAAACTAAAATCTGAATGTTTAAGATTTACTGAAATCCTACTAATATGCCACTTGCGTAATAATTTGGAACACAGTGCAGATGCAATTCGATTACCTTAAAAGTGCTTTTTAACCCACTTAGGTAGGACTTACGCACAAACTTATATGTTATTTCATAATTATTTCTATTGTCTTTCTGTTGAAAAGTGTACTGCCGAATGTACTGACAAGCATTTATGGTAACTAAAATATACTTTAATGTAGTTTCTTTTGAAATCTGTATGTCATGTATTAAAATATATTTAAAAATATATATAATATAAAATATAAGTTTCAATTTAGCATATTAACTTTAAACCTAATAATGAATAACAAATTACAGTTAAACTTATAATCAAGTACTCTACATGTAGGCTATACATTGACACAAATTTTATGGTTGGACCATATAAAGCCCTTTTGTCTAAGTATAATCTTTTTTTTTCTTTTTTTTTTACAGGGAGAAATTTGAATCAGAGGTAAAAGGCCCACGATTTGCCAAACTGAAAAACTGGCACCACGGCCTATCTGCACAGATCCTTAACATCCAGGGGTAAACGCCTCCTGATGTTGCTGGATAGAAGTTGAGGCAACAATCAACAAAGAAACCAGAAGACTATGTAAAGTGAGGGTGCAATAGATATAGAGGAGTAGTCTAGTGACTGGAATGTGAGTTAGAGTTATAAACTAGCCTGTAAGGGAACACACAAAGCTCTTGTGTTTGATGTTCATATGTCTGTGTGTTTCATGTAACTTTCATTCACTGAAACATATGCATATGCTCAGTTGTCCTTTTCTTTTTCATTTGATGTTTCTCTCTTTTTTTCTCTTTTGGCTGCTCTGTTTATCCTAAATTATTGCTGAATAATGAATCGCCTGAATGAATTGCTGATGTAAAAAAACTAACCATGAGAGAAGTTATAAAATGATGTACCACATCCACTGCAATACTCCACAGCACATATTGTAATGCAAACCAAATGTACTATTGTTAATGTGAATAAACCATTATTACTTTGAAAACAAATAAACAAAGGTTTCAGTGTGACGTGTTATTATTTACAAAGTCTTCTGATGATTGGATTAACTATTTTGGGTGTACTAAGTTCTTTGTAAGGTAAAGCGTAATAAATTCCCACACAAAGACAAAAATTGGAATTATAAAACCATATGTACTTGATTATTTGGCAAGAAAAGGTTGATTGTGCAAAGAAGGTTGGGGTCAATAACATCATTTTATTTTTTTAAATAAATTAATACAAGAATGCATTAAATGATCAAAATTGGCAGTATATGTCAAATAAATGCTGCTCTTTTGAACTCTCAAAGAGAAAATAAAAATAGAACGGTTCCACATTATTAGGCAACATGACTGTTTTCAACATTGATAATAGGAAAAGACTGGAGTAATGGAAAATTCAGTTTGCCATCACAGAAATAAATCATGTTTTAAAATATATTCAAATAGGGGGAAAAAAGAGTAATTTTAATTGTAACTGTTAAATTATTATTATTATTATTATTAAATAAATGCAGCCTTGGTGAGGATAAGATAATTATTTCAAAAATATTTTTAAAAAAATCTTACCGGCTCCAAACCTTTGAACTTATGAAGTATGTATTTTAAGGCTCGTTGTTTATCTACTATGAAGAGTCTGGCAATATTCACCCAGTCAGTTTCTGCAACACCAATACTGACCTGTAGATGGTACTATAATTCAGAATGAATTCACTCTTACCTCCTCCCTTACATTTTATGTGTACATTTAGCCTACTAATATAAAAAGTGGACACCTATTTTATATGTGTATTTAATTATTTATTACTTATAGGGTAGCCTTCATTATAAACTGAAAAGTGAAACTACTACTATATTCTTCCTCGTGTTGACACCAGATGGCATCCGCGGCTCTAATTTTTGGGCGACACCCTGCAATTCATCCATCCTCTCCCTCTCCAGCGCGTCTATCCAGCTTGTTTTTCACCGCGCGCGTCTGCGTGTGGAACGCTCGAGCTCAGCCGCGCTACTGTGATTGGAGGACTGAAGCAGCGCGCGGCTGTGATTGGAGAATTGAATCAAGGCTCATCGCTTTACGTGCACGAGTGGAATGTTCCCTCTACACAGAGGCACAACTACAGAGAAAAGAACGAAAGAAACTAGAGAAAAACGTCCACGAAACCAGGAGAAAATCTCACCACAGAAAGTGTCCATAATTCACGTTTTGAAGTAGACCTTCGTCACGACTCATAAATCCTAATTTGGAAGGATTTTGAGTTGAATTAGCGGCTTTATCTAAAAGGTAAGTGGGAATTCCGGATATTTGTGTGATGATTTTCTTTCCGGTTGTGGAGGGGGAAAGTTTGTTTTCTCTTGTCATGGTTTCGTTTTGCAAAAAAATGGACGCTTTAAACGAGTAAGACAATTAATACAATAATTGACAACGGGTTTATTATCTACAGTGTTTGATAAATGCTTATTTTCTCTTGTATCTGCTATTTTCTTGTTCCAGCCCTTTAGTCATTATATATATGCTTTTTCTACAACAGCCATGTTGCCATAAAGCAAACGTAAATTAAATTGCTAATTCCGGTCTACGTTGCTGCTCCATATTGTTTATTGTATTTTTGTTTGGTGTTGCTTCGATAACATCTGTGTTTGGGTTTTGTTGTCAAGTCCCAACATGCATCGTGTAAAATCACGACTACCTGCTTGTTGTGTAGCTCGGATTGGCCGTTGTCTGTAGTTGAATTAAAAAGAGTTTGTCCTTTATTAGTGAGGTGTTGTCTTTGATAGTCTCGATAGTCAACATAAAGATTATTATTATGTCAAAGTATCCAATAACCAATTTCCCCAGAACTATGGCTATATTTCTTCATAACACAAGCATAACTAAATGACTACAACAATTAAAAACATTATATTTATTATGATTATTGCATTGACAACGGTAATAATTACTATTGCTAGTATTGTTATTTATGCAAACCTTTGTGATTTAAATTTCAAAAAAAATATTTTGATCTTTGTTTTGGACTCTACTTTAGGTGCTGCCATAAAATTATGCCATTTATCAATAGACCTGATACTTAAAAAAAACATTAAATGATTAAGTTGAAAACATTGAATATTGGTCAAACCAATTATCAACAACCAATCATTATGTCTCATTTGTTGCACTTTTCCCTTAGTTGTTTTCTTATTGTTGAGCGTTTTGTTGAGTAACAATTTTGTAAGACTTAGCCTAACTATGAGCTATGGTCTATAGTATGGGATTTATGTCTCTCTTTTGCAAACTCTTTCAGTTTCTTCTGAGTTGTTTTAGAGGAACGTAATAAAGTGTAAATCTTTTTTTTGGTCCACATCACCTAGAGAATGAACAGACCCATGATTAGTCCCAGGGGTAATTAAACACGGAGACCAAGATCAATCTTGTATGAGGAGAGAGGCAGTTCTTTCCATATATCTTAATTTACCATGGTATTGCTCTTTCAGATTTGTGGAGGGAAAAAAGTGCAGAAAACTCCAGATGAAAAACAGAACCTTAGCCTGTGCTTGCTCTTGGCTCTTCTGAGAAGCCCTCTCTTTTTTTAGTGGAAGTGTTTGGAAACACAAATAGACCTAATGCTTGCAGTTTATTTTCCCTCTCTCTGTGTTGTCGTGAATACGAATAGTTGTTCAAGTAAACACAGGGCACTTTCTGCTCCTTAATATCCTGAAAGTCTTCGATTGTGGAGATATTGATATGAGATAGCATGTTGGCAAGTGTGAATAATGTTAATGAAGGAAGGCACACTGTTTTTTAAACGGGGTCTCCTTTTGCCTGCATTGGGCTGTGGAGATTCCTGTTGTGTGACAAAACAAAGTTCTTTCAACTCTTTGTTGTCTGAATAAAGCTATTTATTTGCTTTTTATTTTATTATAAATAAACTCATTTGTGAGAGTTTAGCTTATGGTGTGAATTCTACTTTTGCATTTAGTTTAGTATAAATACAAACATGTCAGTAGATTACAAAACCATTGCCAATGGTTTGTGAGAATGAACAGACATTAGACAAATCTGTCTGACACAGATGTGAATGTGAATTCCTGTTTCAAGGGCTGGGCTGACCTTATAAACATGCTTCAGGTCAAGTAGTCCTATTTAAACAATCCACTGGATAATCACATTCAATGTATGCAATTACACAACAAATAAAGAGAGTTGTCTTATCTAACACCAACATTACAAAAAAAAAAAAACCCAGTAGTTTTCCTCTTGTTTACCAAACCATCCCAACATATTTTTACTTGGGAAGCAATACTGCAAAATATATTGAGACCGGGCATTATGTGCAAGATGTGGGCTCAAAAACAACGATGACCCCAGCAGCACCCCTCCCACTTCTTGCAGCAAAATGAAACCTTCAGCATTCATCTGAATTGCTCTTGCAGCCACAGGCCAGAAAAGGCATGTGCTCTGCTTGCAACTAAAATAGAAGGCCTGGAGTGGGAGGGGAAGAGAATCTAATTTTCTCCCTAAGAGCCAGGCTTTCTTTATTTATATATCGTTATGGCTGTATTTAAAGGAGAAATGGTGGCCCGCTTCCTCCATGCATGACTCGCTCTTTATTTTTCAGCCTGTGGGCCTTCGTCTGGCCATAGAAGAGCCTCTCCTTGGAACGGGGGGGGGGGGGGGGGGGGGGGGAGAGAGAAAGAGAACGAGAGGGAGGGAGAATGGAAAGGGGGGGAAGAGAGAGAGTAAAAGAGTCAGGTTTCGGTCCCTGTGCGCTCTAAGCTGAATCAGACAAGAACGTTTCTTTAAGCAAAGCTGCTTTTAGTCTTACATGCTCTGATTTGCTTAAAGGGATCATTCACCCCACAAAAATGACAATTCTGAAATCATTCACTCACCATCAAGTCGTTCCAGACCTGTATGACTTGCTTTCTGCAGAACACAAATGAAGCTATTTTGAAGAATGTTTCAGCTGTTTTTGTTCAAGAATCTAATTTTATAACTTTCTTGCTTTTTAGGCCATATATTTAAAGTCAAAAGGGGTCCAAAACAACATTAACCCCCATTGATTTTTATTATATGAGCAAAATACAAACAAGCATTATTAAAATTGATCTTCCATAGAAGAAAGAATGTCATACAGATTTTGAGTGTCATTAGGGTAAAAAAAGATGACATTACACATTTTTGGATGAACTAATCCATTTAAGACTCAGTTATGGAGTTGCAAGCGGTCTATTCAGTTTTTGTTTTTTTTAATTAACCTTGGCTGTAATAAGACATGGTAGTGAAAAACCAGAGGAGTACTAGTTTCACGGCCTTGAATTGCAGAATGAAATTGAGTCTGGGGAGATTTTATCACTTTCTGCAGTAACAGTCAGCCTGTTTATTTCCCTTTTTTAGTGCATGGAAAGGTGGGGCACACGCCCCCGTTTGGTGAATCTTTTCTCACTAAATTTTATCTTCAAATCTTAATGAATGCCAAATCTGCAAATGGCCTATATGCTGTTGGCAAGTGAAGAATGATTCTTTTGAGAAGCTTTGAGAAAGGACAGAAGTTGTTTCAGGTTGAAATAACACGAAGAAATATCTTGTTTACTACTTTGAAGCGAAGCACATCTTTCATGCTTGCAGGTTGAGTTTGTCATAAATGCATATGCTTTTAGAGAAAATGTACAGAAAACACTTGTATTTGGAAACTGCAACTACAGTAAATTGCATTTTAAGCCTTTACACCCTCATGTTGGGGTAGAGCTCTATGTAATACCTTTTTCCATGTCGCTCTCTTTATCTGTCTCTGTATAGAAAATACCATGTCTTTCAGGAGCGTTTTGTTGTGACCACACATAACAATAGACCAGAGTTGGTTGTGGTTAGCTGAGCGTGCAAAGTACACACACGTCCATTATTTGCTGTGCCGAGACCTCCCAATGTTGAGATCTAGTTCTACTCCTTTATACCAATCCGGTAGTGACTTATAACTAAAGCCTGCCACTATGATCCCAGGGCTCAACGCTAAGGATTTTTTCTACTGGTCCCCGCCACAAAAAGTAATAAATGAATAAAATTAAATACACTGTAAAAAAACTTAACTCATTATTTTGTGTTATCTTTTTGCATGTTTTTTTTTTAGTTTAACTAACTTATTTCGATAAGTTGAGGACAAGAAAACTTACAATTTCTTGTTGTCTGACAATCTAGTTATCTCTACACAAAAAAATAAGTTGAAATAACTAAATTGCTAAAATATTTTTTACAGTGTAGACCTGCTTATTGTTTTTGTTGTTTTTTGACCCATTGTAACCTTAATAAATAAGGTTATAACACCAAAACTAGTCTAATTCATATACATTTTAAATATTGTTAGAGACAACTAAACAGTCAGTAATAAAAAAGTCAGTAATAAAATAATAACTCATAATCAAATTACGAGCAATAGTATACATAAATACAATAGAACAAACAAACACATGAAATAATGCTTTTCAGGTAGGATCCAATATACTGATATACACATTTTTTTTCTCATATGCTTATGTTCAGTTAAGCCATAACATACTGTGTTTACTCGGATACTTGCCAGTATGGGCATTTAGATTTTTTTGTATATATATCCGTTCAAGCGCAAGAAGATGTGAAAGAGAACTCAATTTAGTATAGGGCTGGAAGTAATGATTTTTCCGATTAATCTATCGATTATTTTTTGGATTAATCGATAAATCAAAAAAAAAATGTTAGGGTTAATCTATTGTTTATTTTCTAAATAGTCGATTGATACTTAACCAATAAATAATGACCTTAACTAATCTATGAATGAACTTTTACCTAATTATATCATTTATCACAAAAGATAAGGTTTATGCAGTGTAAGCCTAATGAGGAAAGGTTTTTACCGTGTCTGCGTTCACAGTCACTTTTTGGGATTTACAGCAGAAATATGTGTGAATCCTGAAATGTTTTGTTCATTCAGGAGATTAAAGTAGAGACTTGAATATGTTCATTCGGCTGTGTGATCAAACAGCTGCAGTCACAACCACATTCTATAACCTAACATGGCGGTGCCCATAAAACAGTGAAGTTTTACAACGATTGACAGCGCGCTATTAAATAAATGATTCCAATCGAGGTGTGAGTTCATCCATTAGATATGTTAAATAACCAACAACAGCGTTAAATGCAATTTGTAACCGGTTGCAGAGAGTACGTTTAAGCCGTGTCTCACAGCCTCGCACCTACGGCAGCTCGTAAAAAGCAGAATGCTGTATGAACGCAGTCGTATTAAGCACAAAATATGGGACTGACAACATTATTCTAGTGCTGTTTAAAACTTCACTGCATTATTTGGATAATTACAAAGTATTCCTTTTTTGAATACTGTTTTGATTGTTTGAGAATTGGATCTTTTCCCTCTGCTTTGCATGGGTAGTTATATTTGACATTTTATTATGGAAAGAAGTACTTCCCAAACCATGCCGTCTGCATTTTTGCAGCGCATTATGTCAGGTCTGAGATGTGTTTGGCATCTGCACAGAACCACACAACTATAAAGAGGGGCATTTCCAGAGTCTGACTCTCAGTCTGAACTTTGCATGTGCTCAGAGCACTGCTGAACCTGAACAAAACCCTCAATAAAAAAACATTCATTAGCACTGAGCCCTCCAGCAAGACACGTCCAGCCATCACAGTCAAAGAAAACAGGGTTTAATTTCTGCATACAGGTTAAATGCAAAGAACCCCAGGGTTTGGCATTAAGGATGCCCTTATGGCTAGGGGTTTTGGAACAGTTAAGGATTCTATTTTGATTCTATTCTGCTCAAATGTTTTTTGTGATGTGTGAATTGTTATTCAATACTAATGTTTTGAATATCACGTGTCAGTCTTGAAAGCATTAGATAGAAGAAGGTATATTGACTTTTATATGAATTTGTTTCATATATTAGGGATGGGCACGAGCACTGGTGTATTCGAACATGACAGTGACAATCGATCATGAAAACGATGATCGCCATGACTTTTTCTGATTGATTACTGTGGCATTTTAGGCGGTACCTGAGATCTGATTGGCTAGTGTTAGACAGCATGCCGTCCAGAACAGAGAACTAAAGTGAAACTATGACTTTGAAAGCATGAAGTGATGCCTTGAATCACTTTCGTAATAAAAATACAGTAAAGTACAAGATGTGCTGCAGCAATCTGCCATCTACATAACTTTAAAATGAGAACACTATTGTTATAGAATTTTGTAAATTCGTTGTTTAATTTAGTTGCACGTTGGTTTTGTTGTTACAGGAAGAGCGCATGCAAAACGAGAGTTATACATTCAGACAAGCACGCCAAGTTCACTTGCGCATTCGCATCCTTTTGTGCAGATGTAAGTTGTAATATTACTTTTGTTTTACATTGCAGATTCAAGGAGATAAGGCTAGCTGAAGGTCTTATAATAAAGCCTACATATTGTGTTATCTGCTTAAGAGCCATAACCTAAATGAATGGAGAATGGCTGGTTGTAATTGAATGACTTCCTCTATAATAGGTCTCTGCTTTGTAGAGGAAATGAGTAAGAGTTCCTAAATGGTGAATATGAACAGATGTGTTACATGGTGGTCATCATCACTCAACTATTGTGAGCCCAGGGTTAATTATTGCCTTTCTTCTTTATACTTTGCCAGTCGCACATCTTAATGGACTGTTTTAGTGTTTCAGCACAAAAGGAAAGATCCGATGGTTGTTTGACTGATTGCATTAGTTCACATAGTTCGCATTTAGGCTTGGTATGATTATCTGGCTATTTTCAACAATATATTTGGCTTTTTGCTCATTGGTGGTTTTAAATTGTGCTTGAAGCCTGTGGCTTTGACAGTAAACAAGTTTGCTGTCATCTCACAAAACTAAAGGTCTTGACTCTTGACAGAAAAGCTTAGCTGTTGCCATCCCACAAAGCTGAATCGTGACTGAATGCTCTTGTAAAAAACACAAACATTAAGGAATATCATAACCACAGTGCAAAAAGAATGACTGGGTGCTCTGCAGGCACAGTTGAGTCCTCCCTCAAGGCATCTGTTTTCCCATCCACAGTGCCTCACTGAACCACGCTAACCTTCTCATTTCATGGGCTTTAATTTCAATTAGCTATGGCTGATCGTTCGCTTTGATCGTGTTAGTCTCCCCTCAGAGCCCCAATTGCTTTTTATACACCCTCGTGCTTTCCTGTTGGTTTTACTAAACCCTCTGGAATTAACAGCAGTGATGGAATCTTCATGTTTGATTTCCACTTCCTACAGCTGTCGCTCATCTTTCAGCACTGCAACAAAACAGTGTCACAAATCAAGTCACATGTTTCTGGTCAAGAGTGTGGAGATGTGCATATATACGCAAGCCACTCTGATTATAAACTGCACACTTATTTCCTAATCTGAAGCTTGATTCTGTTGTTTTTGATGAGGCATATTTCAAAGATAAAGCTAAAGCTAAAGCTTCAGATTTGGGAAGAAGTCAACATTCCAGGACTTGGGAAATAAGTTGTAATCCTCTTTCTCAGTGAGGGCAGTGGGGTCAACTCCTCCTGGCACCTGTGTGGATATGAATGTCTCAGGCTTGGTGACACTCTGTCTAAGAAGCATTTCTGCCCTGCTTTTGGCGCTAATCCACACACGTCTTAGTTCAGTTTAATCCTTGGATCTCCTTTGTGACATTGCCAGTGTTATTTAGTGACTTGCCATGTTGAGTTTTGACATGAACTTTCTTGACATCAAACAATTCCCCCTCTCAATTTCTCTCATTACCATTTAAGCTTCTGTTTTTGGTGGTTCAAAATTCATATCATATCATACATTGTAATACTGTATATAACCTCACTTGCAAATATGTACTTTCAGTTTTCAAACTTAAGTCTAAACATGGAAGTATAAATATGAAACTAATCTTAGGCTGCACAAGTGGTTTTTAGTGAGCAGTGTGGCATTTTATGTTTATGGCCTACTTCTTTTTAGTAGCAGTTTGAAGGTAATTTTCAACATTTAGGGGGCTTTCACACTAAGCATGCTTGCTGAAGTCCGAATCTGAGCGCGATAGTTCCCAGTTTCGCCCGAAACGTTAGTCTGGTTTCACACTCAACTTAATTCTATTGAACCCAGGTGCATTGCACTCATCTTATGTCATCACAAAAATGACTGCGCATGATAGAAAACAGGACGCGGGTCAATATATTTAGTTTTTTTATTAATTTGGTGCTCAGCAGAGTGAAACAAAATTTGGGTTTACTGTGTATGTACGTCGCATGACTGAGGCTTTCTGCTGCTTGCAAACAGACTCTTTTAATGAGACAGCGGATTGCAAGCCATTCATTTGCCGCTCGATTGCACTCACGCTCTCTAGCGCTCTTGTCCAAGGTAAATCATCACCACTGTCATCACATGTGTTTTGTTGAACTAATGACATCATCATTGGCTAAAATGCATGCGCGGGTTACTGCACTGAAGAAGTCCGACTTGCTTTCACATTCACGCAAATCGCACCACAGTTCGAGTGCAACCGAACTCAGACCACCTCCTACAGCTAGTCTTGGGTTCGGTGCCCCAGTGCGCTCTCAGGTCCACTTGACAGCTTTTAATTAACATTTTTTTAATGCGAAAAAAGTGCCCCGTTTCGAACTAAACTGCCATTGTGAAAGCACCCTCCAAGTACAATTCATCCATGTGTTTCTTGACCTCCTAATGTTTAACGCCGACCCGCCACAATTGTCTGTAAGCTCGTGTTCAGTTTTGAGTGCAGTGGCCATATCTCAAAATCCAATCAACAACTGATGCATAGAACCAAGTCCCCGCCCTACATTGTTTCTTTTTTGATAATCCAAAATCAAGTAATTCTGAAAATGCTAAAATGATCTCTTCTCTTGCTAAGTTGTGATTTGGCAGCTGTTCAACTGTGACACACTAAAAGTGTCTTAAAGCAACTCACGAGAAAACTATTCAAGACTAAGTCAAGACTATTCTATTTTTTTTTGTTACACACCAAAAAGTTACCATATTTCTTTCACGTGGTTAAATTTTATAATTGGAATAATATAATGAACAGGTGCTTTATAAATAAAATTCTCAGAGAATTAAATTTTCTTTATAAATTTGTAATGCAACAAGTTAATGCACTTTATTTGAGAACTTTTTTTTTTGTCGCTAAATGTTACAAAATTGAATGAAGGTTAACCAGATTGGATTATTATTCATTTTGCGGAGACACAATTATTTGGTCATGTGTAAATGGAACCGTTTTAAGCTATCAGATCAGTAAAAATGCATAAAGTGACCAGCTGTCAATAGGCCATTAGTTTTTCACCAGATTGTATAATCCTTTTTTTGCATTCCATGTCTCTTTAGGTACTCACGGGAGTTTTTGGCTTTACCTTGAGATACAGCACCAGCTTCTTAATACTGACACTCATGAGTACCCCGGATCATGATGTACTGCCACACTTGCTACCCTGTGAGGTAAGAACCTGCTGCTTTTTGTTGCAGACCAGTGTATGATGCTCTCCTTTAATTTGATTGAATTTATTCCTTTTCCCTTTGGTTTGTGTGTTTTTATACTTTTTCTCTTTTGTAAATCGTGGTCTGTCGTATATCACAGAAGCCTTTGTGAAATTAAACTGCCGGTAAATCTGTTACCAGAGTGTCACCTCTTTTTCAAAGACTCACTCCAGAGCCAACTACATTAGTAAATGCTGCAGTTTTTCTTTTCTTTTCTTTACTTTACCTCCAAATTTGGGTGTATTTTCGTTGGGAGAGAAGGAGCGTACAACAACCTTGATTACCGAAGCCAAGAAATTAACCCTTAACCCTGTCCCTGAGACAGAGACAGACCTACACAATCAGTGGGTTTCCTGTCTCATAATTATTGGCGCTTGATTGGTCTGTCAGAGACCAGATCCCCCTGCAGCCCAGCTTCGCCGTTCCCCCCGCATTAATGACCCACGACATATGATAACCGTGTTTACATGCAGAACTCCATACCGCCACATCGACTGGATCACTGTTGGGATTTTCTCAGGTACTTATGGGCTTTACTTTTGATTAGACTGTAGTGCGAGTTTAGATGTCGCTCTGAGGCATGGGTCAATCAGTCTGTGAGGTAGTGAGTCGTATGGACCTGGGATGTTTACATGGGGCTGCTGGGATGGATGGCTGGAGGGAGGGGCTGTTCCACTCAATTGCAGCCACATGTTTGCAAAGGATGTGGAGCTGAACGAGGCCGTGTGATCTGCCAGACTTTAAACAGGGCCTTCGCCTGTGGGCAGCTCTAAAGTTTTCCAGCGCGTTCCTCCAGCCTCTTCGTTACTGTGGTTTCTGGGCAAACACACTGCCCTGTTGCCGTACAATTTTGAATTCATAAACTGCACTCACAGTGCCTGAGATTCCCATACAATTGCTCAGACAAATCCGTTCTTGTACTGACTTACACTAACACACAGACCACACACATAACTAAGTTACATTGAGATGGGGCATGGAATATTTCATATGCAGTTGAACATTTGCAGAAAGCAGAAGCAGGAAAACTTTCAAACATGCACATGAAGCATAATGGAAAGTGTGTGTTTTGTAATACTTTGACCACCTGTTTTATGTGGTCTGTCTGTCTGTTTTGACCTGTTTATATATGTATCTGTAAAAAAAAATCCTGTTAAGTTTACGGTAAAAAAAAAAACTGGCAGCTGTAGTTGCCAGAAATTTACAGTGACAAATATATACAGGATGCATGTATATTTTAACTTAGTATATATTATAACTTAGTTATAACCATATATTTCATCAAGGGATAAGATGTTAATATACCTACTTTAATTACCAAAATCGGCCTTTTTACCTTAAAATGTACAGATAACCACCATAATAATAATACATGTGGCACAATAAAAAGGCATATGAATCAGTTCATCGCTAGCAGCCTGTCCATAACACATGTATATAGACGGTGCACAGGGTCATACATGCAAGTGCAACTTCACAAAAAATAAACAGACTGGCATGAATTCAGTTAGACTAAATGGTTTACATTTTAAAAGACAAATTATTGTTTTATTCCGACTAAAATCAAACTTTTAAAGCGAATGTAAACAAACTGATTGTTGGATCTGGGATTAAAGTGTCCAGATGTCACTCTTTAACTGAGGAACAAAGGCTTTTACTGCTCTTCCTGCTGCTGTAATTAGGTAAACTCAATATGAAGTTGTAAAATGACAGTCATTTAGTTGTTTAACAGATTGGCCTATTTATGTAGCAGCGTTTTGGAAAATATAGGAGAAATTCATTGGATAAAAGGCTTAGTTAGTTTATCCAAAATGGAAATTCTGTCATCATTTACTCATCCTCATTTCGTTCCAAACCTTTATGACTTACTTTCCTATGTGGACACAAAAGAATATCCTGAATATTCTATACAATGAAAGTCAATGGGGGGGTCATTGTTGTTTTTTTGGACTCCATTGACTTTCATTGTATAACCAAAAACTGCTGAAACCTTTTTTTTTCACAGAATAAAGTAAGCCATACAGGTTTGAAATGACATGAGGTGAGTGAATGATAAGAGAAGTTTAGTTTGTGGTTGGCCTATCACTTTAAAAGCATGGAGTTTTCTTAAAAATGTCCTTGCTTTAATTCGGATACTCTGGACTTGTTGTGTACATGAACCATCCCAGAGGCCTCAGGCTGACTTTTTCCGCTTATACCAAACTCCTTCTATGGGGCAGGAAGATCTCAGGCAGGAAGAAAGCTTCCCACAGATGATAACACCTCTTTATCATCCCACAGCCATGAAATTTGTGAGAAGGTAATGGAAAATACAACACCTCTTTCCTTTCTGTGTCATGCCCCAATGCCTTTTGAGAAAAGACAACTCAAACCTTGGTGCTTGAAAACAACCATCACCCCACAGCGATAAGAAAAAAAGATCTTCAACAGTACCATAGTATGTCTCTCCAATCTATGTGGATAAGAAGGAAAAAATAGCATCATTTTAAACACCTTGTGGCAGACATCTTGATTTTAAGCTCATGCAGGAACAGACATTCTGGCAGCACGAGCTCTGCAGAGTGTGAAAACGATCTGTTTGATACAGAGGAACCTCCTGCCGCAGCCATTAAGCGTCCTGCCTAGAGAATTGGAGACATCGGAGACCCCTGCATGAAGTGCACTTTTATGCTTTGCTCATCAGTGTAACGTCCTTCAGCTCAAAACAATTTGCACTTAGTGTTTTTGGGGAAGGGGGCAATGTCACATTCAGTTGCCTGCTGGATGACATGTGTTTCTATACACAGTGGGACTAGCCACTTAGTAAAATGGATTTTGTTCTCCGTGTCCAAAAGGAATTGGCTTGCACAGGTCCACACTGTGGTCTGTGATCTGTCAGACAGGATTTCACACTCATAAGACGTGTAGATTAGGGAACTCAGGTGACCATCCCTGGGTAGAGAACACAACTTTATGAATCAAAAATCGTCCTAAGAGAAGTCCACATGCTTGTGGCTCTTGCAGTTTCTTCTAGCCCCACAAGTCTTTTCAGTTTGGAAGTATCCAGTGTTTGTATTTTAATAGTAATCAAGTCTTAATAGCCATATGACTGGGCTATGATACAGATACACTTCCATTCAAAAGCTTGGGTCAGTGAGATTTGTTTACTCCATTTCTTATTGTCAATTTTGAAAACAGTTCAACAATGATGCTGCTTTATTTTTATTTTTGTGGAAACCATCGTACATTTTTTAAACAATGTTTTTGATGAATGGAAAGTTCAAAAGAACAGCATTATATAGGATACATTTTATATAAAAGTTCTGGACAGCACACTAGAAGGCCCATGCTCAGTTCAACAATCACAGATCAGCTCTGCTGGAAATTAGACAAAATTTAACAAACTAATGTCCTGCATTGCATCGTTACACTACCATACAAAATATGGGGCCAGCAAGAGTTTGTACGAAAATTAATACTTTTTTTTAGCATGAATTCATTAATTATTCAAAAGTGACAGTAAATACATTAGATACAGATTATATATATATACACACACAGTATATATATATACACAGTATATATATATATATATACTGTATATATATATATAATATATATATATATATATATATATATATATATATATATATATATATATATATATATATATATATATATATATATATGTGTGTGTAACGATGCAATGCAATGCAGGACATTATTTTGTTCAATTCTGTCTAATTTCCAGCAGAGTTGATCTGTGATTGTTGAACTGAGCATGGGCCTTCTGGTGTGTTGTCCAGAACTGGACCACCCTACCATATGTCTCAGTGACGTGAAGCCCTCCGTGGAGAGCTAGGCTACATTTGGTCGTGGAATGTGCTGGAGCGTGTGCATCTGCTTAAACAAAGCCTTATTTTCAGCTCAATGTTGTAATTACAGACTAGAATGAATCTAGCCGTCTTGTGAACCCACAGCAGCCTCTGCGCAAGTTTCCCAGGATCTGCCCAGGGCTTGTAAGTCCAAACAGAGAGTGTTTACAGCAGTAAATCTGAGCCACCATTAACACAACTTCTCTCAGACATATTTACTTACTTTTAGAAAAGTGTGCCTTCCGTGTGAGGAACTCTTATCTTTGTAAAATTGCATTGTGTTGGAATGAGATGCTAGCATTAGCAGAGTCCTCACTGGTGTTAAGGGTGCTCTAAGCGATGTCGGGTGACGTCACTTCTTGTTGACGTTCGAAGTATTGTCAAACAAAACGGAGGCTAGCTCGACCCTCCCTCCTCCTCATCCCGTCCCCTCCCCCTCCCTTCCATTGCGTGCACAAACCCCCCAACCCCCACCCCCAAATCATTCTTGTCGGTTATTGGCTGGAACACTGTTTGTTATGTTTCGTGGTCCAGGTTAGTTTGTTTTTGTTGCCGTTTGTGGAGCCTGGGGTGTGTACAGAGACCGCGTTTTTTTTACAGTGTGTTCAGGGGGACAGGCAGCTAGCGGATAGTGAGGAGATGTTTGCTGTATTTGACAAAAAAATGTTTCGGCCTAAAAAAACGCGTAACATCGCTTAGACTTAGAGCACTTTTAAAGTGAGACTAGAGAAATTGGTCTCTCTGGAAGCGGTCAGTCTCACAGCTTGTAGTCTACTACTCGTCTAGACATATGGATCGATGGGAGTTTGACTTACTCTCTTTTTCCTTTGAAGAGGAAAAGTGGATTGCAATTTTGTTACATTTGTGTACTGAAAAAGAAAACCCATCAAATCAAATTTTTAATAAGTTGTATCAGTGTTATTTTTATGTTAAAACTAAGTTAAAGGTTTTTTCTGTTAAAATTGTACAAAAAATGTACAAAAATAAATAAAATGCTAACAATAGAAAATGAGTAAGTGTGTGCAAACTTTAGACTGGTATTGTATGTCAGCCAACATGAATAGATATGTAGTTCTGTTTCATCTAGACACTCAGTAGTAAAAAACA